ATAATCCAAGAAAACTCCGTGTCTGAAATGAGAATCCGAGCTTGTGAACGATAACTTCTGCCTCCTCCCGAATGACTGTCCTGTGTTAACATTCCAGGTACCCACAGTTGCTATTGGAAATATTTTTACCTGCCTTCCACTTTTCGCGAATCGAAGGAAAACAAGTGCCCCGTAGAGGTCACGTGGTCTACTGGGAGTAATGTCTTTGAGCCATTACCAAAATAGATGTAGCATTATTACCCAGGTGCTTGGGGCAGCACATTTTTAGGATAAAAATGCCTTTAAAAAAATTATTGCATCGAAAAAGCACCAGGGAAGGTATTTCAAGGACAGAATCTGTGTAGACTCCAACACGGATCAAAGACTTTGTTGGGTGGGTGATCATAGCCAACAACGACTAAACTGAAACTCAATGGGAGGGCTTTGAAATTAGAGAGGTATCCCTCCAGCACATAAGTTCTTTAGAATAATGTTGATTTGTTTTTCAAGATATAAACTGGTGTTACTTAGTGAAATCAAGGTTATCACTCATATATGTCAAGACTAATTTATTGAAATTTGGCTGAGGGATACCTGATTCATCATAAATAACTTCTGTACACTTAAGCTGAAAATATATCATTTGTGCAAACACTCAGGACCACCATATTTTCTATCCATTCACAGTGAAATTTTTACAAAAATGTTTTGTTGCCTATAGCTTTGGGAAGATACTTCTACCACAGCGTAGTTAGGTATTCATTTTTTACAGCACAGTTTGGTCATTCACTCCTAGGCTGAGAATTCGTTGGCTTTCTTAGGCATGATCTCTGCATTTGTGGGAGCGCGTGTGTTTGCACGTGCATGCTAATACTGAATCCAGAACCATTGCCCCCTACACCAAATTGTACTGTTATTTGCTTACAAGTCTTATCTCCTCTGTAAGACTGTGGACTTCTCAAGAGCAGGAACTACCTCTTTCTGTTCCAGCCCATCACATGATACAAAATGGCAGGCTCATTGATGAGCATCAAGGATCCAAGAATGAATAAGACAGATCTTCTCCCTCAAAGTTCATCCTAAGGCACTATTAAAAATTTCTCTTCCTTTACATTTCTTTTTGTCATCGAGGAACTATGGAATGTAATGGTTAGAAAGGAAACTAGAGTACTTCTTTATATATGACATAAAATTCTCATGTGGTAATTTTATCATTTTCCTTCTGTTTTTTGAAGAAATTTAAAAATCTTTACACAATCATCCTTAGAAGGGTCATAAATCACAGATTTAGCTACTCTTGTTGAATCACTCCTAAATATTTTCTCCAATGTGTCCAGTAAGTACTATGACAAGATAAAAGTTAACCCTTTTAGCGTCATCTGTCTGTATTTTCATGTTTTATTTTCCTTTCATTCTTATTCTATTCATATCAAAATGCTCTTTTATTTCCTTTAAAGCCTCTTACAGTTCTTTTTTTTCTTTTCACACTTTGTTCCCTAGCAGCCTTTGTATATTTTTGGTTTTCCCCTCAATGATCTCTTCCTGTTTTGCCTTGCATTTCATTTTTCTCAAAGCCACTTTTCAAGGTTTTAAAAAATTAACTAGGTTTCTGAATACTGTTTTTTGGTTCGTGGAATGATTTTCCTAGTGTTCTTTAAAATTTTTTTTTAATGTTTATTTATTTTTGAGAGAAAGAGACAGAGAGAGACAGAGCTGGGGAGGAACAGAGAGAGAGGGAGACACAGAATCCGAAACAAGCTCCAGGCTCTGAGCTGTCAGCACAGGGCCCGACGCGGGGCTCAAACTCACAAACCGCAAGATCATGACCTGAGCCGAAGCCGGACGCTCCACCGACTGAGCCACCCAGGCGCCCCAGATTTTCTTAGTGTTCTTAACATTGCCTCCTGATGAGATGTCTAGCTCTTGACCTTGTGGGCATTACTACATTACAGCACCATAATTAGTGTTCAAAGCAATGACCTTGAGGAATCAAGAAAATATAAGCTTTCTAAGCATATTATTTTACTTATTTACTACTTTTTGGTGGAAGATTTTTTCTGCTGTGTAAGAAATGGTCCTTGCCTCCAGGATCTTACCATCTAATGGGTAATATGCATGCAAAAAAGGTATGAGAAAATATGGCATGTCTGTAGGTGATGAGAGTACGTGAAAAGATATGAGAACCAAGAAGTCATTTTCTGCTATGATGGTCTGAGAGGTTTTCATGAAAGATTTGAATGGAATTTGAGTTGAACATTGTGACTTGGAAGTAATTTTAAGAAGAAAAGAGGGGCAAAGATAGATCATTCTCAGAGGGAAGTCTGAAGGACACAGGAAAAGAATAAATTGAAATGGCTGCATCAGAAAGTTCACATAAGGTAATAATTGTAATATTGCTGGAGAAGTAGACAGGAGTTTTATTGGAGTGGGGATTTTGTTTGCTAATCTAATATTTTATATTTAATTCAAGAGGCCATAGAAATCTAGTGATTTTTAAAAATTTTTTATTTTTTATTTTTTTAATTTTTTTTTCAACGTTTATTTATTTTTGGGACAGAGAGAGACAGAGCATGAACGGGGGAGGGTTAGAGAAAGGGAGACACAGAATCTGAAACAGGCCCCGGGCTCTGAGCTGTCAGCACAGAGCCCGACGCGGGGCTTGAACTCACAGACTGTGAGATCCTGACCCGAGCTGAAGTTGGATGCTCCACCGACTGAGCCACCCAGGCGCCCCTAGTGATTTTTTTTAATTAGGGTACCGACGTACCCAAAGAAGTCCTAGGAAGAGGTATGCAGCATGGATTACAGGGGGAGAGCATGGAGGCAAAATGCCCAGTTAGGAGATCACACCCACAGTCCACATGTGAGCTCACACGTGCCTGACTTAGGTTCCTGTCAGAAGTGTGTTATTGTGGAGGATGAGGATAGAATTTACAGATGAAGAGGAACTGGTTGGAAATGAAAGATGATTTTTTTTTGTGGGGGCGGGGAGGGGAATGGTGGGTCACCCTGGTAGAAGTTCCCAGCATTGAGTTCCAAGTGTGGGTCATGCTTTGATATTGGAAAGTGAACAAAGGCAGGACTTGATACTGAATCTTTAGGCAAAAACAGGGCAAGAAATGCTGTTTGGAAACCATTTTTCCTCCCTAATAGTTATTGTTCAGCTCTTTCTAAGAAAGCAAAGACAGAGTTTCTTTTTAATAAGTATAGGAAGAGGTATGTAGAGTGGAAGAATCTGGTAGTAGAATACTAATTAATCCCTAGGAAATTACTAGCAATACTCCCTGGATGCAAAAGAAATTTCCAGTGATGGTTAAAGGAGCACAGCAGTGAAAAATGGTTCATCTAAAGTTCAGATCCTAAATCCTTTTATTCTCAGCCATGACCCAGCCAGTCTGGTTCCTTTGACTTATCCTCAGTTTCCTGGGTATTAGTAATATCTCTGAAGATGATGGTGTGTGCCTTTGTTGATGCGATTAATATTACTCTTATTATTGAATCTCTTATGTTAAAAAGTAGTTGCCTTTATTACTATAAATGCCCTGAGTTAGAATGCTAATTTAGTCAAACAGTTTTGATAGGCTTATCTCCAGTTATAGTACACAGCTTTTTAAAAAATTTTTTTAGTCATGCATACTTAACCAATTTTCAGTAGTTATAAGTGGTTAGGTGTTACTTCCTGTTGAATTAGCAGTTGCTGAGTAGTTGAGTCTTTGTACAATCCTGCAATCCACTAATGTGATATTTAATGAGGAGACATCAGTCTGGAGAAAGGTAGTCAATATAAATCAGTGTTTACAAAGTGTGATTAACTCTGAAATATTTCATCAATGCTGTGGTCCCAGGCAGACTCTATGCTAATTACTAGAATCTGCACATGTTTCAGGGGACTTGGATGGACCCTGAGTATTGCAAACACGGAGCAGCAAAATTGCAATTATGCTCGGACCGTCTCTGATGACAATTTATGCATTTGGTGTGATGACCTCCCCCTTCCCAAGAGGGCAATAAACAGAATGCATTTTCATTAAGATACTAATGCACTTAATCACAAGGGGAAAGGGTTAGGAAGCAAGGAAAGACCTTCAAGCACTGTGTGACAGAGCTGATACGGGAGAGAGGCTTTATTTTAAAGGCAGCTTCTTTGCAAAGCTGTAGGCAGCCCCAGAGCACATCCCACATGCTGTCATTGGCATTAATTGAAAAAATTTCAAGTTAAAGTTTGGATCTTCTTCTGGCTACATATTTATCACTTCCAGGGTGTAAGTACGACCACAAATAATGTCAACTCTGATATTAACAGTGTAGTTTCGTAGCAGTTTATTTTTATTTATGACACTTTCATGGAGCTTGAGTGTTTGGAATTCATTAATGCAGATAATGTAACAAACACGATGATGATGATGATGGTCATCATCATCCTCTTCCTCCTCCTCTTCCTCCTCCTTTTCAATAAACATTTATGAAGCAGAGAACCATGTTGTGAGGCCTCGTAAGAGCCAAGTCATTTCGGTCCCTGCCCTCTAGGAGCTTATTGTAAGGCCCCAGGTTAGCCTGCTGATAATTTTTCACAGTGGGGTTTGTGCTGTTTAGTGTCAGAAAGACGATAAGCCTGATGCATGGGAGCATTCGTAACCAAAGGAAATCCAGAACTGATGATACGAGAATATGATTTTGACGTTTGTGCTTTTACGGAAATAATCTAGTTTGAAAATTCATTTCGATCCTAAGATTCTGAAAGACTGATGTTTTACACGGGTAGACTGAGCATAGTGTTTTAAAGGCTAACCTTAAACTTAAGCTTTTGAGATCCTTTACCATTTATCTTCCGGTTATTCAGTGCATCTCAAGTGGTTGCTACCGAGCAGACAGCTTCGTGGCATTTATGACATCTTCCTGAATCTCCTGTGACTTTTTTTGAGGGGAGGGGCAGGATGAATGCGTAGACGTTGCCTTTGGGATGCTCACATTTTTGGGGGTCTTGCAAATCTAACCGCTTTCCTTCAAACTCTGTGTTTTAGGTAATATAGAATATAGCTGCCCCGCCACGAATGAATGTGAAATCACAAAGCGCAGACGTAAATCCTGCCAGGCTTGCCGCTTCATGAAGTGTTTAAAAGTGGGCATGCTGAAAGAAGGTAAGGCACGTCGTTAGAGGCCCCGCGCTTCAGGGTGGGAATGGGGGAAGGGGTGTGTGCAGGGAATTACAGAAATGCTACAGAAATCACGAAAAGAGGGGGTCACAGTAAGCACCCTGAATCTGATGACAGAATACTCATTCACGCCTGAGTTTTCTGACGAGTCCTGGCTGACGGCTTGACATCGACAGGAGGGGACAAGGTGGGAAACATCACGTGTGCAGCTAAGCCCACCAGGTATGCTTGGTAGTTCTGGTTCTTTTTGCCTTTACAATTTGCAGGAGGTGAAGGTCGAAGGACACCAAGAGGCTAGTCGTTGTCTTTTTGTGTTTCTTCTCTTTTCTAAGTTTGCAGAGAGATTTTTCCTTCCGTCGTTAAGTGAGATATAGTTGGCGAATAAAAACTATATATTTAAAGTGTATGACTTGATGTTTTGATGTGCATGTGTACTGTGAAATAATCGCCAGAGTCAAGCCAATCAACATAGCCATCGTTTCATATTGTTACCACTTAAAAAAAATTTTTTTTAACGTTTATTTATTTTTGAGACAGAGAGAGACAGAGCATGAACGGGGGAGGGGCAGAGAGAGAGGGAGACACAGAATCTGAAACAGGCTCCAGGCTCTTAGCAGTCAGCACAGAGCCTGACCCGGGACTCGAACTCACGGACCGCGAGATCATGACCTGAGCCGGAGTTGGCCGCTTAACCGACTGAGCCACCCAGGCGCCCCACCACTTTTTAAAAAAAATTAATTTTAGGTGTAAAACACTCTTTCTTTTTTTCCAGTCTTCTCTTTTGGACTTATGTTCTTATGACCTTTACTAGACCACTAAGAACTAACCCCTCATTTGACTAGGAACAGAGAAGACTCTCCAATTCTTCCTCTCATCTTGACTCTCCTCTTCCTCTGGGGGGGGGGCGCCCGGGGCGGGGAAAGCTATAAACAAAGGGTGTATAATTGTATAATTAAAGCCTTATGAAAAGGTGACACAAAATGTGTTGTCAGGTAAAAAAATAAAATAAAATAAAGCACAAATCCCCTAGTAGTAGGATTCACCATATATATATTTTTATATACAAATATATATTTATATTAAATACAAATTATAAAAAGTTTATCTTAATAATTCATATGAAAATATCTGGAGAGAGAGAAAGGAGAAAGAATGGTAGAAGGGAGATATGCTTTGTGGTAGGGTGCACATGGGGAAGTAGAAGGAGGGACAAATAAAGATTGGGGACAGTGTGGCACTGTAAATCCAGTGAAGAGGGGTATTTTCCCTTTTCACCATATAGCCTTTGGCACTATTAGGATTTTTCACAGTTGGTATATTTTATATTTATAATGCCCTTGCTAAATATTTATTAAGTTTCTCCAGAGTGCCAGGCATCATTCTAGACTGCAGTGGTACAACAGTGAGCAAGTCAGGTATGATTGCTCTTGCTAGAGAAAACTTAAGTGGAAATGCCAATGGGACAGTTTTGACCAGGAAAAACATAAATAAAAACCCAACCATAATGACACTACACACAGGACAAAGAATCTCCCTTTTAGTTAGGATGATGGTGATAGCTCACTTCTTTTGAGGTTGAAAGCTTTATCTTAGCAATTGCCTTAAATCCTGTAAAAGAGTGACAAACAAAACCTACTTCACAGTAAATGGTGAGTAATTGGTGGTCGACTTTTCGTCTTTATGTTGCCGCTTAGTTGAGCTGTAGAGACTCGCACTAAACTTCCGCTCATTCAAAAGGGGTAAATTAAGAGTCGGGAGTTGAGGAATCATTTTCAAAGAGCAAATCCATGTATTTAAAGTGCTATAAAAATAATATATCAATTAGCGCTTTGAATTGCTGTGTCCTAGATGTGGCTTTTATTTTCAAAAACTAAAGTACATGGAGATATGTCTCCATTTCCAGGTTGGTAGCATTTTTTGACTGGTTTCATTTTACTACCATGATTTACTCAACTCTTTGCGCTTCCAGGTTTATGGAGGAAGTAAAAAAAATAATAATAAAATTTCCTCTAAATAATTTCCCACGTTGTGGTTTTGAAGCAGGAGCAGTTTTGAAGGGTGGTTAGAGTGACGAGGAAGTGTGAACTGGGTTTAATTAAACATTGTTGGTGAAAAGAAATGGGACAGTGCTTATCTGTAATTCACACCTCTTCAGTTGCCCTTATCAAGCCTTTAGAGGGTCTGTTTTCAAGGGAATTGCTGCTGTTGCTGATATACTTAAATAATAATTTATTTTCCTTTACTTCCTTATGCCCACTTCGATGGGAAAATACCAGTTCTCTAAGCCCCTCCCCCCAAAAGGATGGCTATGAGTAAACATGGAATATTCCTCTTCTTTTGTACTTAAAAATGCAGTGAAATACTGTATTACACCCTGCATATAAATGCACAATTATGTTTGGCCATCTCCTTGGCTCAAGACTGGCCTCCTCAGCCTGGAGAGAATGATACTGTCTTAAATGTATCTTTATGGATGGAGAGGGATTTCAGTCCCGTGCAGTATGTCAGAGATCATGATGTAGTAAATCTATTCAAATGTAAACCTGTTCAATTCAATTACCAGTCCATAATAAAATTTGCTGCTACAACCCCCGTGTTGACCACAGCAGTCCATACAGGCTGATGGCACAGCAGGTCTGGAAATTGACAGACAAAATCTATTTAAACAAAAAACAACATTAGTTCTAGAATCTGAAATGAAATCAGATTTCAACAGCTTTGATGGGAACCTTCTTTCCTTTACCGGGTATTTTTATGCAACCAGCCAAATACATCTTAGCTAAAGTGCTGCCTGAGGGAAATAAAGAAGTTTTCATTAAAAAGGTGGTTTAGAGAAAAATGAAACTTTCACTCTCTTAAACACAATGATCCCCGGGTTTATTCACCGGTATTTCTGCTAATGATTTAGGGTGCAATGGGAAGTGACAGCTTAGAGTGTAAACAACCCCACTTGCGTCACGGTTGTGCGCAATTAAATTCTTATAAGATCCGCCTTCTCCTTAGCCAGCACCAGAATTATGTCTGAATGAACTACTTGATTTTGACGTTAGAATTTTTGAGTCAAAAAGTTGTTATTGTCTGAAACAAAGAATTTGTTGTGTGGAGCAAATAACAAAGTGTCACAACATAAGAACAAAACAAAACCCCACGCTTCAAGAAGTACAGTTAAAAAAATGAAAGTTTGTTCAAATCCAAATGGCTGTGCCATTCCACATCCTGAAAAATCCCCTTTTCTTTTCTGGGCTCCAGTTGGCTAGTGAGCCTCACGAATGATGGGCCAGCATTACTTTGTCAGCATTATACCATACTGTATGTCAGAGAAGACCCATCTATTACAAGATATCTGGTCCCAACATTCCCTTTTCATTTTTTTTCAGGTATTGCTTATTTGAAGGAGAAAAACAAGAACTAATCAAAGTGCACCTATAAATCTGGTCAAGATTTATTTTTATTTTGATCTCTCTCCTTGGTTATTTAAAGGCTATTGTAGGACACGCTGGTTCAGTTTACTCTCTGTCAGTGGCCAACAGAGACATTTTATGAAAGCAATAATTATTTTATTTAGGTATAACATTCACTGATCGAAGGATTAAAGGGCTTTTTGCTGTTTATTGGTATGATGGGTTTCACCTTGGCAACTCAAGTATTTTTCTTGGACTCTTGCACACGAGAGCAAGGCACCCACAGTCCTACACAGCGTGATATTCCCCAGCCAGGCCAGCGTGCATGACAAAGTATAGATGAATCACAGAAGCCTGGAGGGCCAGTTTAGCTATTTCATGCCAAAAGAGTGTATTTCACTTTGCCTTAAAAAAAAAAAAAAAAAAAGATACTTAAGCCTTTCTAATCTTCTATTTCTTTTTTTTTTTAAAATTTTCTTAAAATGTTTTTATTTTTGAGACAGAGCGAGACAGAGCATGAGTGGGGGAGGGGCAGAAAGCGTGGGAGACACAGAATCCAAAGCAGGCTCCAGGCTCCGAGCTGTCAGCACAGAGCCCGATGTGGGGCTCGAACTCACGACCCGAGAGATCATGACCCGAGCCGAAGTAGGACGCTTAACTGGCTGAGCCCCCCAGGCGCCCCTCTAATCTTCCGTTTCGTCATCTGTAAGATGATGGCAGTAGTAGTATTTGTGAATAAAATGTCGTGAATATCCAATAAGAAACTGCAGGTTAAGTGCTCAGCATGCCACATGATACAGAATAAGGATGAAATCAATATTAGCTCTTGTTGCTGGAAACAGTAAGGGTCAAGCTTCAGGGTCAGGTGGACCTAGATTCATTGCCTGGCTCTGCCACCTCCTGGACCTGAACAAGTTGCACAACCTCTAAGACCTACTGCAGCCTATTTACTTGTGAGCATGGGACTGAAGACAGAACTTACCTTGCTTATGAGGTTTTTGTAAACCCAAGAGAGCTAATTTAGACACAGGGTATGTGGTTGGGGGGTGACGCCATGAGCTAGAATCTGGATATATTATACTGACCTCCTGGACTAATACAAATTCATATAAATTTTGTTATTTTTCGGCGATGTCAATGATCTTAGGGGTCCTTTCTGACTTTTTATAGACATACAATAGGTGAAAATTGGTTCCAAAATTTCATAAGGAAATTTAGTTTTTAATATTTACCCTTAGGTCAAGCAAAGCAAGACAACAGCATAAAAAGGAAAAAAAGGGACTTCAACCCAAGCAGTTTTCACCACCAACAACATAGGTAAAGTGGTTGAGATGAAGAAAGGAGGGCTCATTCCTCTATCAGAGAAAATGGACAAATAACCCATATTTTAAAATGTGCATGAAGAAATAGAAGAATTCCTTTAATGTACTCATAGGTACATTAAATTTTACTAAGGGAATTTTGATAACAGAGCATCGTGGAAAAAATTCAGAGGATAGAAATAAGTTTTAGAACACCTCCATAAATATTAACCGAACTTCTCTCTCGTGTCTGGCAAAATACCACGCTTTAGCTTTTAATTGT